GATGGTGATGCCGATGGTGGGGAGGATGATGACGATGATGGTCGAACAGTAGCTGGGGCTAGCTATGAAAATTTCTTGGCATATGAGTTTACACTTGTGCTTCCTTGACACATTCTGAGGGTCTCATTTCATGTGAGCCAAGCTTGAGTTTGGCTTGAGTCTGGCTCGAGTTTGCGAGGATTATGAAAATGATTAGGAGGGTGTGACGACTGGGCTCATTTGACTCCGGGAGTTGGTGTTCTCCCAGCCTGTGTGGTCCGGACGTAGACTGAAGGTGCATGGACTCGAGCCTACTTTCATTCTTTATAATCACCTGGAAAGGTTTGTACCAGCTTTTATTGTTGAAGTCGACTTCGGACATCATCTAAACAACAGCCGAAGCAAATGTTACCTTGACAGCCAAACTTGTCGTTTGCCATATGGTAGATGCCACCCTGACGGAGTCAGCATAGGTCAGTTAAGGAGAATCAAGGACCATTTGTGGAATTTCCCCCAAATATTATGAGTAAGCTTCATGCTGCTTTTCTCCTTTTTCGCAACTCCTTGGTCCTATCCACACCCCTGAAGGGGCTTTAAATCGTGTTAATTTCAAACATACTTGCGTCGAAAACAATGGTGCTTCTAACAAACACATCCATGGTTCGAATCCCACACGGAGGCTGACACTGCAATGAGAAGGGATGGAAGTTGCATTACAGCTTGCCTGAGGATGGCATTTGGGGAGGTATTTCGAAGCGAACTGCAGAGCGAAGATCTTCATTTCTCTCTGTTTATAAATATGTTATGAAATATGAAAACCAATCTCTAAAATCGTCAGGCACACCAAAACGGCCACAGACCTGACTAACTTGCTTTATCCTCGATCCACGGGCCGGATATGGTGAAACAGTCCACACCATAGCGAACTGACAGCAGCGCAGGCTCAATGACCCTGTTGACCTGACTTGGGTTGGAGTCGACGCCCGGCGTCACGGTGACCAAGTGTGTGGATTCGATGTGAAGTGGAAGGCAACGCCGGTTAGCGATGTTGGTCAATTCGGTGGGCGAATCGTCCCATTGCCTGAGGCAGAGGCGGGGCCGTATGCAATAATAGTTCTTGCGCCGATGAGCCAAACTGTTGTCGGCCTGTTGACACTATCCGATATGCCAGACCAATGGATTTCGGACAGACATAAAAGTACACAATGTGTGTATGTGTGTATGCGGGTATAAAAAGTCTATATATGGAGAAAGTAGAGGAGCAGGAGAGACAATGATAGGACCGTATTGAGGTTGTGATTCGGTCTATGACAAATAGGAGTCCTGTGACCACTTTGGGGGATCAATTGCCACCATGTCTGCACCTCCTGCCCACCCCTGAACGCCGCCACAGCAATCACACAGCAACCCCACATGCACATAGAGACGACTTGTGTTGCCTTGGCGAGAAAAACTGAAGCTTTAGTTGCTGCCATCATCGATGTCTCAATTCCCTCGGATAAGTGGCCAAATTCTGTCTGTCTGCACCATATGGCGGACTTCTCTGTTCCACTGACACCTAGTCCGCCGGAGGGCTGAGAAGACTTGTCGATGAATGAGACGAAATGTGGTTTCTATGTTGATGAGTAGAATAGAAATGGAAAGCTTTAAAGATCAAATTTTGCTCTTTGTTCGTGAGACAACTTGTGAGTGTGTAGACAAGCTATAGTTTCTTTCCTCGAGTGACGAAAAAAAACAGTGGCAGGCGGGATGTACAAGCCAGGTTAATGGGTAATTTCCTGGCCAGCCAGTCCCCCTTATTGAGTCCAGGCAGAACGGGTATCAAAAAAAGTCTTAGAAAGGACATCGAAAAAAAGATCATTGGGATTGAAGAACGATGTGTACAGGAGCTTTAGGCTTATATCGGGCGAACATGTGAATCCCTTTTATTCTCGACAAGTAAAGCATACAAATATATCTGTATTTTAACAAACCTCTTAAATCCGCTTTTGCGGCATTCTAGAAAAAATTTCCTATTTAATAAAATAGAGAACTGACAGATCTCAGCTTGGGGGTTCAAAGCATTAAATGCGCTTGGGACATCAATTTAACTTCGACTTACTTCAGTC